CGTGAACGGGCACGGGGCGGGCCCCGCCGAGCATTCCTGAAGAGGATCCGCTGCTGCCGCCGGCGCGGTTCATCCCGGGATGGCCCCTGCTGCAAGTCTTCCTCCTGCTGTGCTGAGCAGGCGGCTCCTGCTGTCGGGAGGAGGCACTGGAGCTGTGCTGGCAGGGCTCTGCTCCCTGCATGGCTGCAGTGCTTCCTCCACGCCAGGACCTCGCCAGGAGCGTTCCTGTCCCTTAAGAGATAGAGTTATGTAGACACAAAGTGAATCTCATTATAACAAATTAGAGTCAGGCTTGCTTTAACGTGGTAGTTCCGTGTAGAGTTTATTAGAAGTCTTAGAAGTTTGTTTCCATGTGAGTGTTGAGAGTTGAATTTCTTTGGGATAAACTTGAGCCAAATGTGGAGGCAGTGAGCGTGTTGGGGTTTTTACTCTGCTTCCCAAGGTTATTGACATTCTGGCTGCTTTAAAGCTCTCTCAGGATGGCATCTAACAACCTCTGGTCTACTGTAAAGAGTCTTATAGTATTTTTACACAACAGTCTTCACTGTCAAAATGCTTTACCAACTTGAACTCTTGATTTGGAAGGAGGTCTCCCAGGAGACCCTTATGGAAGAGCAGTGTTCCCCCCTTGGAAGAAGAACAGGTAGACATTGATCAGACTGAGGGATCAATGACAGCACTTGCTCAAAGCCACAAAGAGAAGCAGTGTCATGCTTTAGTCAGTTGATTCCTTCCTCAGTGTTTACACAGAAATTCCTGTTAATGCAGTCTGAGCTAACATGGAACCACTGTTTATGTTGGCTTTTAGTTTTGTCTAATGAAAAAATCTTGAAAGCAGTGAGGAATACTTGATTTCTCTCAGTTTTCTTCCAAAGAAACACATTTGGTGCTTGGTCTGCAGCTGTTCAGCAGCTCAGCACATCTTCTTTCCTTTTGTGGTGGCTCTGCCTTGGCTCGAGCTGTGCAGCTGAAAGGGAGATGCCACTGACCTGAACAGTGTCACCACAGCTCGGTGTCCTGGGCACCACAGAGCCACCAGGGCATTCCAACAACTGAGCTGAGCTTCCCCAGCTTTCTGCTGTAATGTCTCAATTCTTAGGATGTGAATTTTTGCTATTATTTTTTTTGTTTATTTTTCTTCCATTCCATTTATTTTTGTAATTAGGTGACTTAATAAAAATAACTGTTTTGTATAATTTTTGAGGCGTGTGTTTTGAGCCATAGTGTCACAAATGAGCGTGCACATGCGAGGAGGGGGATGAGCTCCCTGCCGCTGATCCCGTACAGGGGCTGCAGAAACCATCACGAAACTCACGCGTGCTCTGGGGACCTCACCCCGGTGCAGGGGGAAGCTCGGTTTTATCCTCCAGTAAAGGGAGCTTTGGCAAAGACGGGGGCGAACCGGGGGCTGCCTGCGGGGACGTGTCTGCACGGAACGGGGGCTGCAGCTGCCCCGGCGGGGGCGGCTCCGGGCGCGGCGGCCGCTCCGCGCTGCCGTCACTTCCCGGCTGCGCGCTTCATCCATCACTTCCTGCCGGGGGCTCCACGAGGAGCGCTCCTCCATCCCCACGCTGCCCCGGGCACCTCTGGGACCCGGGCTGGCAATGGCCAGCCTGGCCGCCCAGGATTCCTACCTGCAGGGCTTGGCCAGGAGGGCCGGCGTGCAGCACGCCGCGGAGTCGCGGAAGAGGAAGTTTGGTACTGGAGCTCTTCGGTTCTGTCCTCTCCGGCCGGTTTGTGGGAGGCTGGGCGCTGGTCCCCACGGGGTGCTTGGCCCGGGATTGTGCCTGTTGCTAACCAAAAACCAATCTGCTCAAGCAAGGAGCTCCCAAACACGTTACGCATATTGTACTGGAAGCCCTGGAAGTCGGTGGTCTCCATTCACTGTGGTGATGGATGTGGAGAGCTGGAAGTGTGCAAGGATGTTTGGTCTAATTAAATAAATCCTGAAACGTGAAATTTTTGGCCATTTAGATATGCCGTTGCGATGGAACATTAACGTTCAGTAGTAACTGAATGTTACTAGTGGGAATGTAGCATTGTCCTCTTTTGTGTAATTTGTTTTTGCCTTCTAGTGTCTAAGCCAGGCCAGCCCGAGGATTCTGGTAGACAGGTCAAAAAACAGAAGAAAAAGAAGCCCAGGAAGCAAACTGAGAAGAAGGATGCTCCTTCAGCCAAGCGAGTGGTTTCTAATACCAGTAAACCCACTTCAGGACAGAAAGCAGCACCTCAAGCCAGTAAATCATCTCCGCAGGGTGGTACACAGAACAGAAAGGAGAGTTTGCCTACAGGTAAGAATTCCAGCTTTGCCGTGGTCTGATTAAAGTGACCTGAGCTGAGCTGGCTGCTTTTCACTTGCTTCACACAAGTCTAGTTTGGAAAGCCTAAATTGAGAACATCGTTGTTTATTTCATGTGCCCCAGAAGCTTTTGCCTATGGACAGGAATTTGTGCCGTCACCACTGGGTGGCTCTCTGGAAACGGTGTTTAACTGAACTGCAGAGGTTTTGTGCATGTGAGTAACTTTGGGAATTACACGTGGATGCAATCCCTGTCCTGCCAGTCCAGCTTTCCTTTATGACAATGAAAAACCAGATCACAGAGAAAAGATGTCCTGAGCCTCTCTGTTCCACAAGCTTGGGACTTGTCTGTGGCTTGCCAGGCAGCCCCAGGGCATGCCAGGCCCACTGCTGGCAGTGTTGAATGATAAAAGAGGAAATTCTAAAGAAACCGATGGAATAGAAACTCTGTGTTTGTTCAGATTTTCCGTTCCATTCAAAGCATCTAAAGAGTTCCCAGAGTTTTTCCCATAGCCAGAGAAAGTGCTACTGTTCAGCTGATGCTGCTTTTTAAGTATTTTTATTTTCTCTCTCTCATTTTCAGGAAGTAAAAGTGAACTGAGTTCCCCTTCTGTTTCTGCAATCAGTCTGTTGCGTCAGAGACTCCACGAGAAGATCAAAAAAGCTTCTGGACAGGTATGGGGACTCTGAATGTGTATCCATATGTGTGTTTGTGCACTTGAAATCACCCCCAGCCTCCCAGGGCATGTGGGGACAGGATTTCATGGGCTGAGGCTTTGAGCTGATTCCAGCTCATAAGGGATTGCCAGGTGACCTGTGCCTGTTCTCTGGAAAAACCTATGAGAAAAGATGGGGTCAGCTTCCAAGAGAACGTGCCTTTGGTGATTTTTAGGGAAAAGCAAAATAGTGAGAGGCTGCAAGGGAGCAGCTGCAGGCTGTTGTGGGAAAGCAAAGGGTTTGAAATGTTGTTACTGTGTTTAGTGTCTCTAACAGTGAGTCACAGCTTCACATCACAGGTGGTGCTTCTTAGGAGGAGTTTGAAATCAGGAGCTTGGGGACAGCCCACTTTTACTTCTGCTTTAACCCTTTAAGGCTTCTCATTCGGGTCCATCCTTCTCCTTAGGATAATGCCAAGGAGTTAACCCCTGCAGTCCTGGAGAAGAGGCAGCGAAGGAAGTATGAGAGAGAGAGAAAGAAACGCCGGCGAAAGGAGTTGAAGATGAAGGCAAAAATGGAGAAGAAAGAGACTGAGGAGGCACCAGCAGAGCCAGAAAACAAAAAGGAGGAGAGCAAAGCTGATATTGTCTTCAACAGGGTTGAAGTTCATGAAGAGAATGACTTAAACAAGATCCAGAAGAAGAAAGAGAAGAGGAAAGCAGTGAAAGGCAATATCACTCCTCTGACAGGCAAGAACTACAAGCAGCTGCTGAGCAGGCTGGAGACCAGGAAGAATAAACTGGAGGAGCTGAAGGAGAAGGACGAGAAGAAAGCTCAGGAGCTGGAGACCAAGATAAAATGGACAAATGCTCTCTATAAGGCAGAAGGGGTGAAGATCCGTGACGACGAGGAGCGTCTGAAGGAGGCCCTGAAGCGCAAGGAGAAGCGGAAAGCCCAGCGCAAGAGGCAGTGGGAGGAACGGACTGTGAGGGTGGTGGAAAAGATGCAGCAGCGGCAGGACAAGCGCAAGAAGAACATCCAGAAGAAGAAGAAGGAGAGGATAGAGAAGAAGAAAGCCAGGGCCCGGAAGAAGGGCCGAGTTCTGCCAGAGGACTTGAAAAAAGCTGGGTTAAAGTGAGAGGGAGGCAGCTCTCGTTGCATCTCCAGGGTGGGGTGTCTGTCTGTCACACGGGGCTGTGTCACTGTCCCAGGCTGTGGGGCAGGCACTGCCACAGCTTCCCAGCCTCATGCTAAAAAAACAGTTGTATGTTTGTTAATAAAGTTTTCTATACTAAAGAAACACCTTCTGGCTACTTTCTAATAGGAATTATTATTTTTCTAAAGGGGAAATGTCATTTGCTGTCACTTCCTCTGATGTGCAGCACAGTGTCTTTGCATCCCCCAGGAATGGGAAAGGGGAAACAAAAAGGCAAAAAGACCAAACACGGGATTCACCTCAACACAAAGATACTGCAATTGTCATAAAACCTTTGCTTCTATGAACTTGAACAATGCCTTTGAAAAGAAGAGTGGATCTTGGATACATTTATCCTCCCCACTACAGGAAAACTGGAAATAATTTTCAATTTTAGACAGTGCTGTTCATCTATAAGTTATGTTTTATCAGCATTAGGTCAATATAGACATAAACACACATGTACACATGCATGGATTTATTGTTGTGGAACTAACTGATCCTTTTGGATCATCCACAGGACACACTGACTGATCCTGATGGCAGAAGGATTGGCTCCAAGTCTGTCTTTGGCAATAATAAAAAATTAGGCAAAAAACCAAAGAATTCTGGCAACCACAGGTGCCTGCAAGGGTTTCTTCTTTGCACAGTTCACCAGTGCAGCATTTTATTTGGTCATTACCAATTTTTTGAATTCTCGAGTCTCTCAGTCTGGCTCTTTGGAAGAAGCTCTTTTTTCCTCATGCCCAAAGCTGATGAATGTGCTGTGAGGGAAATGCAGGCTGTGCTGGGCAGTGCTTCCCAGCTGCATCCCTGCTGCTGGAGCTGGGACTGCAGAGAGGAGCCCCAGCAGTGGATTTGTGCGAAATTCCTGTTCAAGCCTCAGGTGGGACTGAACACATTTGTGCTCCTGCTGCCTGTTCCACAAGGAGTCCAGCAAGGAAAGCTCTCCCTGGGCACAAATGGAGCTCTCCCCACGGATATCTTCTCTTTCTTCACTTTCTGAACAGCCCTGCACTCACAGCTTGCCACTTCAGTTGTAGAAATCTGAAATGCACGTTTGGAAATCTGAAATAGTTGCTCTGCAAAGAATATTTTCCATGGAACGGTCTACAAGTGAGGTATTTATCAGCTGTCCAGAATGCTTTCCAAGCAGGGCTTGAAGATAAAGTAATGCTTTGTTCTTGGGGGTCAAACAAGTTCATTTGGGATAAACAGAGCTACTTTCAGCCATATCCCTTTTTAAAAACTCTCTGAACAAATTCAAGGAACTATTAAAAATGCTTTAGCTCTGATTTCTATTTGGTTGGAGATTCTTTCATCAGCTGCAACCACATTTATTAAATTTCTGTTTGTATTCGTGGTAAACTGTAAATCAGTTGAGGCAATCCTCAGTGAGGTGTTTTAGATGCAAAGGATGTTTCAATCTCAGCTGCCTCTAGTGCTCTGGCAGGTTTGTACCACAGAAATTGAAAATAAGGGGGGGATGCATCAGCTGTGCTCTTAATGATGTAATATTTCAAAATATGTGTATTTCTCTTCCTGAGGGATTAGATGTTTATTCTGTAAAAAGACACAGGGAAGTGCTCTGTGCCCATTACAACAGCTGAAAATGCACTAAAATAACCAAAAACCCACTTTTTTTTTTTTTTTTTTTTTTTATTCTGTGTTAGCCCAACTTGAGGACAACTCTTAGTCCCCTTTATTCTCTCTGTTCTTGATCCTCTGTCCTTCCCCATCACCCAAATTCTGAGCTCTCAGCCTCTGTATGCCATGGAGACAGAGCATGGGTCAGGTGCAGAAAATGGGAATCCCCAGGAGACTCTGCAAAGGGATTGTTTGTGTATTCCTTTATGCTTTGGGTGGAAATGCTGAGAGGATATTTATGCAATTGGAAAGTGGCATCAAGCTGGGAGGGGCTGCAAGCCCCGAGGAAAACAGGATTCAGTCAGGGTTTGATGTCTTAGAAAAACAAACAGCCTGGAAATTGAGTTTGTTTCCATGAAGTCAAGTACAAGGTTTTATGGGCCTCCAACTTGGTTGGGAGAGGTTCCACAGGAAACACAGGGGTTGCATTTGGGCACAGGCTGTCATCCCAGGGCTGAGGTCCAGCAAAGCAGGCAAAAATCCTGTGGGAATGTATGAACTGGGACAGCTTTTCAGTTTTGGGGGACAATCCAGCTTTACTCCCTACTGCTGAGGGCTCAGCAGGGGAATTTGGGGTGTTGTGACACCAATTTCATGAGAATGGGCTGATTAGAGAAAGTCCAGTCAGATCTGGCAGAAATAATCCCAGATCTTGAAGTTAGAAAATTACCAAGAAAGACTGAAGGAGGTCACAGGAGAGAAGAGGGAAGGAAACATCAGAGCCTTCAAGTATGAAAAGGAGACTGACCTGGACTGCAGTGAGATCCTGGCTGGAAATTTGGAAACCTGCTGATGAGAAGGGCTTTCCTACCTGCTCTGCATGCAGCCATCTCTCAAAGAATGCCTGAAAAACAACTTTTTGAACCCCTCTCTGCACTTTTATCTGCTTTGCATGTGCTGGAAGCATCAAGCACAAGGTAAGAAACGTGGCACTGACAAATCCTGGTGTCAGCACAGCAGCTCTCCTGACACAACGAGCACAGCAATGAGATAAAGATGGTCAAAGCACAGAACAACTGCCTGAGGGGGAAGGCTCTTTGTACTTCTTTCTGTGTTTGTGGATCTGCAGCGTTTTTAGGCAAAAATCTAGAACTGCTCAGCATGAATCCATGAAGGCTTTAAGTGGTGGAAGGCCTTAAGATGTATATTTATATAGATGCACACTATAAATAATAGATATATATTATGGTAGATAATAATAATCTTAATAATATATCTTAGGGAAGGCCTTAAGATATATATTTATATAGCTCCACACTTAGAAATAATGACTATATATATACACACACATATATGTATGTATATATATAGTTAGTCATTATTTCTAAGTAGGATTTTGTGATGCTTCCTGGTGAAAGCTAATTAGATCCTCTCAAAGGAAAGCGAGGGAGAAGCACCAGAGAGGATTTCTGTGTGACACAGTAAAGCAGATTAAAAAACTTTTTGCCACTTGTCTTTTTCCAGCCAAAGACATTAAAGCAGAAAAATCACTCCTGCCCGTTCAGATCCATTGTCAGTGTCCTGTGCCTTACCAAGGGCAGTAATGATCTCTGGGATTACTTCAGCACCCTCCAAGAAGCATCATGTACTCCTCCCCTTAGTATAAATCTTTATAAATGCTTGATAAACAGCCTTTTTATAATTTTACTTTTTTTCCTTCTCTGCAGGCTCCGATCACATTGTAAAAAGTAGAAAGCTGTAACTGGAAATATATCTGGGCTCTGCAGCCAGCCTGGAAGAGCTCTTGGTGGGGAGGATTGGGTCCTGAGGAAGCAGCAGTGAGATGGAAACCCACGAGCCTGATCCACAGCTCCCTGCTGCTGTCCTCACTGGAGGTAATAATGAAAGGAATAACAATTAATGTGCTTGTAACCCTTTTGCAGAACCCACACAAATGCATTTCGTGTTTGCCACAGGGACCAGCCAAATTTCACACTCTGGGCACCTTTGCTTCCCTGTGAGCAGAAGAAAAGATTGATTTGAGCTTTTTAGGTAGGACTGCTGGCCTTGGGAAAGTTGATCTTCATGGCTGTTGTAGAGGAAATAATTTCTTTGGTTTAATCTTTACCCCAGGTGCCTTATGTGAAATGTTCCTGGTCTCACACCTCAGTTTACCTTTCCTTCAGGCACCTTTGCAGGGAATGTCTCTGCTGGTTACTGGGCTGTGAATGGTGGAGTTAAGCAGCTCAGGTGATAACCGTGTTAGCTCTCTGATAGGACAGGAGTGGGTGATTTGATTCAATTACAAAGGGTGTGTGCTTGAGGTGAAAAAATGGAATCTACAGAAAGTGGAATCAGATCAGAAAGGCTCCCCGTGCACTAGAGCTGGGGTTAAAGCTCCCTGGAATGAAGAACTTGCTCACACATTTTGCAGATGCTGCCTCAGTGCCCTGGCTCTTACAGTCTGATGCCTTCTGAATCAGAATTTATCTCTTCAGAAAGACTGAAAGAGAAGCTACCAAGAAGCTTCATCCTCCTGAGGACATGACCAGTTTCTCTCAGAGTGAGGTACTTACAGCCTCTTCCCTTTATGTTTGTCCTTTGCAGAGTGGAAGCTGCTGGAATTCAGAAGTTGCCCTTCCTTCTCCTCTTGAAGATATGATTTCCAGGAAAGTGCTGCTGGGATCTCTTGTCTGCCTGGCTGGTGTTGCTGCAGTTTTCTGGTAAGCATTTGCTGGCCAGCTGGGTCATACCTAAAACATCCTGTGTAGATCCTGTGGTAAATCTCCTAGAATGAATAAATAACTAAAATAAAGGCTGTGCATTTTATGGGAAGCCTCTCTTCGACGTGTAAGAAAGAACAGCAATTTGTGTAACAGATAAAGGAGAACTGGTAGAGGGAGAAGGCCCTAAGGGAAAGAGGAAAAAAGAGCAACTGGGTCCAAATCAGGCTGCTAACACTGTAGTGACTCACAAACAAATGCTTGAGTATAGAATATTCCAGTTGCATTTCAGCTCAGGCCTTAACAGAGGTGATTGTCTGTCTCTTCACACAGTCCAAACTCACTCCAGTGTCACCAGGGACAGCTTTGTAACTATCAGACATCAGAGCTTTCAGTCGCTGAGAATTTTGTACCTGAATATTCTGACAACTGAGTATGACTTCTAGATTATATGGAGCAAACTCAAACATCATTGGAAGGGAATCTGAGATAAGGCATTTCTGTTAAGTATTAAAATATTAATTATGAAATTATTCTGATTTATTGCATTTTTATGATGTTGCAATTTGCTGTACTTTCACCTTGTGGGTAGCTGCATTTTGCCTCAGCAGCAGGACATTGTGTTAAAATGTAAACAAAGCAGATCCTGTACTAATTAATAAAGTAGATATGGAGTTACCCAGAGTTACCTCTCAAAATCTTTGCCAGGTCCTTAGATGACCTTGGAAAATCCTAGGAAGTTTTCCTTCAACATTTCCTGACTTAAAACATTTCTTTGCTCTCACAGGGCTGTAGCTGGGAGTGGAAAAGTGCACTACCTGCCTTACTACCTTCCCTGCCCTGAAATCTTGTAAGTATTTTGTCCTGTGCCTGATGACTAACACAGATCATTGTTACAGTCCTGCTCTTCTGACAGCACAAACAGTGACTAACAGGTGGCTCGCTCTTTATTTCTGAAGCTGCAATTAGTCACTCTGTTAAAACAAAAAGCTAACGATGCTGCTGGGGCCTGCCTGCCCTGCAGGTCTCACAGGTGAGGGAGGCTTTGTTTGTTGTGGGGCCCAGAGCCCAGCACAAAGAGGTTAAAGCAGCTTCCTTATCAGGCTGTAAGCACACACCTGTACTCTGAGCATCCACTCAGCAGACAGAGACACCCAAACCAGGCAGAGGAGCTGGCACAGGAGGAGCCCTGGCACAGGCAGGAATGACCCCCTGGTCTCACCAGGCTCCTGTTCTTCCCTCTGAGATCCATGCTCTGCCCCCACTCCACTGACGTGTTTGTGCCACGGCAGCACCTGAGCTCGGCTCTGAGCTCTAAACAAATGAAGGGGAGCTGCTCTGAGCTGATCCTGACCCAGCCTGGGTGCCAAGAGCTCTCCCAGAGCTGCACAGGACACAACTGACCCTGCAGGGCCATGGCCCCAGCGACCTCCTCGCTGCCACAGCTGGGACATGGCAAGCCTTGGCTCTTCCCATGACCTACTGTTCTGGTAAAAACAAAACCAAGCCATGCAAATAGGAAAAAAAGATGTTTCATGAAGGTGTTTCTGATTATTCCAGCCCATTCCAAACCGTTGTGTCTGGGCGGGTGCTTCTTTCTCCGAATGCTGTTGGAAATGTGATTATTTCAGGTAGTTCAGCCCTCCAGGTGACCAGGAACACTTTTGCAGGGCATGGAGCACCTACAGGACCATTGCTGACAGTCCCACATGGATTTGGACCCCTAACCCCTGATTTCCCCTCAGATGGGGCTGCTGCCAGCACCTCTCTGTGCCTGTTGTGTGCTCTGTCCCAGAGCTGTCCCTTGCCTGGCAGCCCTGGAGGTGTGTGCAGGTGATGCCTGACCCTGGGCCAGGTATTGCAGTGTCCACTGCAGCTAGGTTTGGACAGCTGCCAGTGCAGCAGCAGCTCCTGAAGCTAAACTTGGTTGATATTTTAAGAAAAGCATAACAATCCCTTTCTTTTCCCACCCCATCATGCAGCTCCATGAAACTCCAATATACAGAAGAGAAGCCAATCCAGCTTTTCCCCCAGTAAGTACTGGCTTTTTATCTCCTGACCTTTAAACTGCTGTTCCTCTCTTTCCAGCCATATTCATGTATTATTCAATGGATATTTCTTCCTTTTTACAGATTATTTTATCAGCAGCCAAGAGTGCTGGCGCCAAAGTAAGTTTCTTTGTTTGAACTTTGTTTCTGCCGAGTTTGGTTTGGGCACTTTGCAGCACTCACAGTTCCAGAGTCCTGGGGCACACTGAGCAGGACCTTGTTCCATGAGAGCCCAGCCACAGGGGTGTGTCAGCAGCTGCTCTCAGCTTGGGTTTGGTTCCTGCACACTTATTAACACACTCCCTGTTAATTCCCAATTATCACATTAGCACCCACGTGCTCTGTCCTGGCCAGGAGCTCTTTCTGAGGTGGCAGATCTGGGATAGCTGTAAGTGGGAGATGCCTTCTGGAGCTGTGCTGTAGCTGGAACCAGCTGTGAGAGAGCTTTGAACCCATTTCAGGGCAAAAGAAAGCAGCAAACACAGCCAAAGCAGGAGTTTAAGGGCAGATTTGGGACAGCAGCACTAAGAAGTGGCTTGGACAAACTCTCTGTGCAGCTCAGGTTGTTACAGCCTCCTTTGGCCTGACTTTTATCTGGAGCAGCTCACCTTCAACAGCCAGATTTTTTTGCATGTTAATAAACACACCCTGTTGGTACACACACATTTATATATATAGTATTTCCCCCACATATTCAGGATGTTCTCAGCCTGAATATTTCTTCCATACTGGAATAAATTTCAGTGCTAAATCAGCTGGTATATTCTTGGCTAAACGAGGGGAGAATCTCCAAGCTTTTCATGCTCTGTGTCTTCTGGAGGGAGTTCAGTGGCACTGAGAGGATGACCATGACTCACTGGGGAACCCAGGGCAGCCCTTTCAAATCAAATTTACAAAGCTTAGAGAAGGGAATATGCCTGTTTCCTTCCCTCTCCAATAAAAAGGATGATCAACTCAGAAACAGGACAGATCAGTTGGTACATTTTCTCCAACCCAAATTCTTCTCCCTGTAGAATTTAATCTTTCAATCACAGGCATTGCTGCAGGAAGGAGTGGAACTGTTATTCCTGTATCCTCTCTGACTGAAACGATCAGATCTGGCTTGGATCTGCTGCCTGAAGCACCAGGCTGCTCCCCACAGCTCCCCCAGTTTGGTTCTGGTGCTGTTTTGCCTTGGGGCTGTGTCAGGTGGGAGCCTGGCAGCCCCCAGGTGTGGCCCTGGTGCTGCGTGTGACAAATTTCATTAGCAGAGGGCTCCAGCTCCTGCTCTGGAGCAAACCTGAGCAGCCTGGGGTGAATTCCCCCATAAATGCCATCTCCCTTTGAAATCAAAAAGGTAAGAATGAAACACTGAAAGCAAAGCAGCAAATGGAAACAGCATTGCAGAGCTGTAATAGGGCAGAATCAAACTCTGCTGCATTTATATTCAGATTTCCTCTTCCCTCACAGGAGATTAAGGGGGTTTTTTTCTAACTTTGTTACACATTTGAATGCTGGCTCACACACAGCATTTTAAATTATATCTGAATGTGTTGGAGCTATATATAAATACTGGAAAAATAAGCTGTCATACTGCAAGCTGTGTTTTAATAACACAGCAATGGGGTATATTTTATAGTAATTTTCATATTATTGTTACTTGTGTTTTAATCTGCATGTAGCAATCTGCATCAGGCTGGTAGCAAATAGGCACAGCTTCCCATTCTGAGAGTTCAGTGGTCATTAAACTCTCCTCAGCAGAAAAGTCCTTAAATGAGATTTTAGCAGATCCTCAGGTTTTTGCTGATGTCTTAAGTGCTTAATTTCAGCCCAGGAATTGAAATATCCATGCTCTGTAACCTCAAATAAGAGTGCAGGGAGTAAATATCTGAGGCTAATACCCTCCATGGTGAATTAATGCTGATTCACACGCTCCTCTAGCTGCCTTTTCGTGCTTCTTTCCCATTTACTGGCCTCAAAACCAACAGGAACAGTTACATTTCGTGTACATTTCTGCTTTTTTTCCCCCTTCAGGCGCCAGGATGTGCTGACAGTCACACCATGGCTGGCCCCCATCATCTGGGAAGGGACCTTTGATCCTGAGATCCTGGACAGTGCCTACAGACCCCTGAACCTCACCATTGGGGTGACAGCCTTTGCTGTTGGAAAGTAAGAGAAGCACTCAGTGCACACAGTTCTTGGGGTGATGCCCTTCCTCTGTGGAAAGATGGTTTTGGCTTTCCTTTTCATGAAATTTGTTCCAGTTTTTAGGGGGGTTTTGTGCCCATGTCGTGTGTCTGTAATCACACAAGGCCACGGGATGACAACACTCGAGGTACCTGAGGTGTGGGCAGTGTTTTTTAAGAATTAGCAGGTGCCTTGGGAATTAGAGCTGGTCAAAATGGGGATAATCCACTTCTTCCTTGTCCTCCACTGCACCTGTTGTGTGTGTGGTGTGTGGATTCTTGCAGGGATAATCACTGAACTCTCCTCACTCCTTGTCTTGCATTCCCTAATGTGAGAATGAGAGAATCCTCTTCATGATCCACCACGCAGCCCCTTGGAATCCCAGAATGGTTTGGATTGGAGGGAGCCTTAAAATTCATCTCCTTCCACCCCCTGCCATGGCCAGGGACACCTTCCACTAGACCAGGTGCATTAACCTGTCCTTGGGCACTTCCAGGGATGGGACAGCCACAGCTTCTCTGGCACCCTGTGCCAGGGCCTCCCCACCCTCCCTGGGAAGAATTCCTCCTTCCCAAAATCTGATCTAACCCTGCCCTCCTTCTGCTGAAGGTTTGATATCTTGTGAAGGGTACCCTAGAAGAGAGACTAGATGGAGCTAAAGAATGAATTAGGTGTTTATTAAGAAGCCTCAATAGATCCACCTGGGGCAGCACAACCCAAAATGGCCACTAAAAATGGACAATGGGTCACAGGGTCTCTCACTGTGATCAGTTCTGCTCCATTTGCACGTTGGAATTAATTGTCCAATTCCAGCTTTAACTTGTGAAGTCCCATCATTCTTGTTTTCCTCTCTCCAGCCCACGTTGTTTGTGCTCTTGGGCTGAGATTTGGATCATTTGTCCTTGGTGCCCAGCTGGAGCAGGAATTGTTTTGTCTCCCTGCTCTGTGCAGAGAGCTCACATCCCCTCGTGTGAAGCCCAGACCCACATACTAAAGCAGCTCAGAGTGTGAAAAATAGAAAAACTAAACCTGAGGTTGTTGGAATCTGTGGTATTGATGATTCTGAGATTGTAGAAAGTCTCTGTCTTTCAGCCCCTCTGCCAAAGCAGAAGCCATAATTGGTCTGTGCTGGTTTCCAGGTTGTTTATTCTGTTTATCTCTCACATGTTCTGCTGCCCTGCCCAGCTCTGTCCTGCAGGGCAGCGTGTGGGGCTCTGCCCTCAGTGGGATGTTACAAACATTAAATACCAGAAACTCCCTGGGCTGGATTTACAATAACGTGCCAATATCTGTCACCTACGTTGGACAGTGTGTCCCCAGCCTGAACCAACAGAAAAATGCCAACACCACAGTGAGACATGGAGGGCATGAAGAAGGAGAAAAAGGACAAGGCACACCCAATTTCCTCCATCTTGTGCCCTTTGGACCCCTCATCTAGAATCCTAAAATTTTACTTTTGCACTTGTGCCACACTTAATTACGACTTATATCAAACACTCAGAGCTGGCAATTGATCCTGTAAGATTGAAAACTCTTTTCCATGGCCAGAGATCACAGCCAGTGTCTGTGGGGGCTCTGTCCAGGGGGGTTCCTGACCCTGCCAGGGTCCCAGGGCAGCCAGAGGGAAGCTCTGGGTTCCCACATGAGGCATCAGCCCTTTCCCCTGTCACACCCTTCCCTGGCACAGGGGCACAGCAAGGCCCTGCCTGTCCCTGCTGTGCCCCACGGCTGTCTCTGCTCAGGTACACCAGGTTTGTGCCTCGCTTCCTGCAGTCGGCGGAGCAGCACTTCCTGCAGGGCTACCGGGTGAACTATTACATCTTCACTGACAGCCCCCAGAGCATCCCCCGGCTGCAGCTGGGGCCGGGGCGCAGGCTCCTCACCGTCCCCGTGCACAAATCCTCCAGCTGGCAGGAGATCTCCATGCGCAGGATGGAGGCCATCAACCGGCACGTGGCCACGCGGAGCCACGGCGAGGTGCACTACCTCTTCTGCCTGGACATCGACATGGTGTTCCACAACCCCTGGGGCCCCGAGAGCCTGGGGGACACGGTGGCAGCCATCCACCCCGGCTACTTCGACGTGCCACGAGAGCAGTTCCCTTATGAGAGGAGGAGCTCCTCAGCAGCCTTCATCCCCGAGGGAGAAGGGGATTTCTACTACGGAGGGGCCGTGTTTGGAGGCTCGGTCAAGAAGGTCTACGAGCTCACCAAGATGTGCCACATGGCCATCCTGGCAGACAAAGCCAACGGGATCATGGCAGCCTGGCAGGAGGAGAGTCACCTCAACAGGCACTTCTTGTCCCACAAACCCTCCAAGCTGCTTTCTCCTGAGTATATATGGGATGACAGGAAGCCAAAGCCCCCCGAAATCCACCTCATACGTTTTTCCACGGTGAATAAGAACTACAAAGAGGTCCGAAACTGATCATCCCTGCAGAGAGATCCTCCATGCAACCAAACCCACCAAAATTAGCTCCTCCAGGATGTGTCCCACCTTGGATTTTTGTTCCTGCCAGGAGCAAAAACTGGGAAGGGGACGTGTGGGTAGTTCTTTTGGAGAACAGAGTCTAAATGCATTTCAGAAGCAGCAAAGTGCAGGTGAGACTGAAAAGGTTTCTGGATTCCCACTCTTTGTAAATACATCCTGCTTGAGGCTGTAGCACACAAAGAAGCATCCACAAGGGCAGTTATACAATGCATGGCTGCAGTTGCCTTTGCCTGAATGTTTTCCTGAGGGCTGGTGGAAATTTAACAAGATCAAAATGGTATTTGAGATGTTCCTGTGGAGGAGAAGACCTTGGGTTTTGGTTAAGACCTTTTCACTTTAAGAAAAAGAACGTTGCAGGGCAATACATTTTCCTGAATTGTGATTTTAAATAACACTTTTTGTCAGAATCAGGAGGAAACTTGCACTCAGAGCTCGTTATCCCTGACTGGTGTGCAGCAGGATTTCTTGGACCTTCTCAGCAGAGAGCTGGTGCCAGGCATTGCCCGTAAGAGCCTGGGTCTGACAGGACAAGCAGTGTGAACTCATCTAGCAGTTATCTCCCAAATTCCAGTCTGCGCTTTGGAGACCCAAGTTTAGACAGAGCTGGCACAGCTCAGAGCAGCCTGAACTTCTTCGGGTTTATTTCAATCACAGATGTGCTCTGAACCTTTTCCCTGGGTCACATGTCTCTGCGGATCATGTAATCTTTTCCAACACAGAAAATCTGGTTTTGAGATGCTCGTGTTCCTCTCCTTGCTTCAGCCCTTTCCAATTTTTCTTAGCTCTGTGAAATAAATTGGCGAGAAGCTGCTGGAGCTGACAGCACGAGCTGATGCCTTTCCAGCAAACAGGATGATTTCATTCCGTGATGAAATGCTCTGGAGGAGCTGGGAGTTCAGCGTGGAGCTGGAAGCGGGCTGGGGTTCACATTTTCTCTCCTTGGATGTGCTGAGGAGCTGAAGCAGGCGCTCAGAGCCTGGCAGCTCCCTCGGGTGAGGCTGGCAGCTGAGGTCACAGCACGGGGGTGCCTGTGCCACCTCCCTTGTCACAGCAGGGCTGCCATCAGCATCATCTCCCTCTGCCACCGAAGGGCTGAGCACGTCTGTCAGCCCCTGTGCTCTCAGAGGCAGCAGCAGAGAGGCCACGGGAGCTCAGCGGGGAGAGGAGGAGCAGGGTGAAAGGGTGAACGGGCTGTTTCTAAGGAAACACTTTAGGGGAGGTAAAGGAAAAAAAGAAAAAAAAAAAAAGAGGGAAAAAAAGCTCATTTGGCAGAGAGAGGGAAAATAGGGAAGAGGTGCCTGACTGTTCCTGCTTCTCTTCACATGAGAAAATTGCTGTATGGCAGCGAATCAAGTATTCAGAGCTTTAGGGCCCCAGCACTGATTGCAGATGACTTAACGAGCCATTTCAGTCCTGTGAGCAGGCTGGAAATGGCACTTGCCACTGTCATTGCAGGCATTTCATCTTCCAGAAGACTAATTAAAAAAGCTTTCACGGAGCCATCATATAGATAAGGTACCTGAAATACCTCCAGCCCCAAAGCCCCAGTGGCAGCTGGGTTGGCTGATTTGTGCTTAATCCAGCAAAAGGTCTTTATTACTTTTTCTCCAGACTGTTCTTAGTGATGTGGTGCAGGAGGAAGATTCCCCTTTACATAACTAAACCAGAACTGAAACCCCTGCTATGTACGTTGGGTGACCGGGCTCCTCACCTAAGCCAAAATGGTGAGGAAAAACACTTATCCAAATATTTCCAGAAAGATACACTTCCAACCAGCCCAGGATTAATACTGTCTGTTTCTTATTTGTTAAATGAATTAGTGCCTCAAGGCCATGCTGAAACTGGGTTCTCATTATGCTAATTATACATATATGCATATGGATTCTTTACCAGCCAGAAGGAACTGTCCAGTCAAGCCAGATAATTTTATCTCCTTGTGTCAGTACGTGTCTGGGCTGGGCTAGACCTCGTAGAAAAGTACTCAAATTCCAAGAAAAATGTGAAGTTCCATAGCAGCCACAAATCCATAGATCAGCTGTGGCAATGGCCAATTCCCCTTATGCCTTAATTCTGCTGGAAATTGCTCTGGGTTTGCAGCCACAGGGCTTCACTCTGCCACATTAATTATTGGATTTTTGTGCAGATACTCATAAATCCTCCATGAGAGGAAGTTCTGCAGCACAAATGATGGGTGATAGAGGGTGGTCTGTGTTTTTGGGGTACCTGTTTTGGACAAATTGTGAAGGGCTTGGTCTGAGCTCTGCATCTGAGCTGCCTTTTGGCCGAATCCTCAGCCCTCTGATTGACACCATAGTGGCCTGGTTTGTGCTGTGCCAAACATGTTTATTTTCCTGGCAGGCCTGCAGCTTCTCCCCAGGGGAATGGCTTGTGTTGTGTGACACAGTTCTGCTCCACGGGGCCGTGGTTTAAAGCAGTACCTACAAACTCCCAGTGCCTCCAGGGAGCAGGAGAATATCTGCAGAAAAAAAAAATAATAACCCACAGCGCTGTGTGGGAGATGCTCCCTGAATCAGCTCGTGCCCTCCTGCAATTAATGAAATTAATGAAAGGCTGGACTCCTGATGTCATCTCCTGCTGATTAATCCCCTTCCCCCAGCAGCAGCAGCGACTTTTCCTTCTCCCAGTTTGGATTGTGCAGCCTGAGGCTCGTGTGCACTGTGGGAGCTTCACCAGGATCTGCTTTCTGATGTGCATTCCACACCCAGTGCACAGTGGGGAAACTGAGGCACGTGGTAGGAAGGCAGCAGAGTGTCACTCTCACCACAGGGGACAATGTTGTCTTACGTGTTCTTGTGCCAGAGGAATTTGGACTTAGAAATGCAGGGAAGTGCATGAAAACTGAATCGCCACACGTAAACAAACCCCACTGCCTGGGGATGTGATTTGCTCTCAAGGTATTTCCCACTCAAGCCCTTAACCCAGCCTCAGAGCAGCAGCTTGTTGCCCTCCCCAGGGCCCCTTTTTCCTTCATCCCTTTCAGCTCAGCTGGAACAGACTCATCATTCATAGTCCCTCTAATTTAAGCACCCATCTGACAGGCTGTTTCTTTCCTTCTCCCTGCTGCTGTCTTGCCCAGTTCATCCACCCCCAAAGGGCAAATTTCTCTGTGTGATGTGAAATTTCCAGCACTGAATATGATTTGAGGTGGGGCCAGACTCTGATCCTCTCGTTCTCCCCACTGATAGGGCAAGAATAATTTCCACTTAGCCAGATTAGGATTCTTTTCCTCTCTGGTTTGGATTTCCCATAACCCTCCCACAGGTGATGCTCCCTGACAGTTTTTGACCAGAAATGTCATTTTGTACCACACATCAGCAGTTATGGAAGGACTGGCTTAGTCAAACCTTCTGTGGGTGAGATCTGTGGCTGTGGGGCACGGAAATGAGATGATCTTTGAGCAGAGGGGGTGAGGAGGGGTAAGAACATCATTTACACATTCCCTGCTCAAAATGCAGCTGGTGGTGGAAAGGAGCTGCAAGGCTGGGAGCTCCCTGCCAGGGCTGCTGGGTTCACTCCCCTGCCCTTTGTCTCACCTGCTCAGCTCTTTGAGGGAGGGATTGTGTCTCTTGCTCTGTGTTTGCACTCAGTGGGGATTTGCTCTGATCTCAAAGGGAGCTCTCAGCACCAAGGTTATTATTTTCTCACTTGTGTCCCACCTGCTCTGCTTCACCTCCTGCCCCGGTGAGTCCCCGTGGGACCCCAGGGATGGCACGCACAGAGCAACAGCTGCTCTCCAGGTGGAGTGACAGTGACAGAGGCAGTGACAGAGGCAGTGACAGGCCGTTCTGGGGACAGCAGGAACTGGAGAAGGCGTTACAGGAGTGGGTTGGGTTGTATTTTACTCACGGTAAATCCCCAACCCTGGAGTTCTGCTCCACACAATCAAACGATTTAGGAAAGCATCACTAGAAAAACCCATCTGAAGAGTGACATTTGAATGTCTGCCTGCCCACCAGACTCCCTCCTTTCTCCACGAGTGTTGCTGCACTGACGTGACTTTTCCTGTGTATATTTAGCTTAAACATAGATCCACCAAATGTCGCTGTTTTGTGTAAAACTAGTGTAAATCCTTAGGAGTAGAAAGGCAGTTTTAACCACAAATCTCCACTGCTTGTATGCCCACATCATCCCCCTGCTTCCCTGCTGAACCTTTAGCCAATTTACAGCGAGCCAGATGAGTACAAATGACATTTAAAAAGCGCTTCATTCTGGTGTGGTTTTTAGCGAGTTTTGCCAGCAGCGAACCACATAGCTCTAGACCTTCTGACGTGCGTGTTTTTCTCGCTGTTTTTCTCACTGACACCGTTACTATAATTAGAACCACGTTGCTCTGTAGCAGCATCTAGTGCCAGAGGCAGAGCCCTGGCAGCACCTTTTCCTTTCCTGGCTGCTCTCCCCGGCCGGAGCCGCGGAGGAGCGGGACGGGCAGGTGCGGGGCTGAGCCCCGCCGCTCACCGCCGCTGCCACCCCGCACAAAGCTGGTGCTGGTGCCCAGGAGCGGCCCTGCAGCGCCGGCTGCAGCGGAGCATCGCAGCCTCCTCCTCCCGGCTCCTTCTCCTCCCGCCGCCGCTCTAATGGCTCGTGTCATCGGCCTCCAGATGACAAACGATGGGGAGCGGAGCCGCTCTGTTTCCAGGGCAACCCCGCTGCCTGCCCAGCTCCCGCACGGACCCGCGGCTCCGCCAGCGTTGCCCGTGCCCCGTTTCGGTGCCGGGCTCAGCGGAGATGAGCAGGAATGGAGCCCTGGCTCCCCGCCCCGGCCTCTCCTCCTGAGCTCGGGGGGTCCCGGGGGTGTCTCTCAGCCCCCAAGCTGTTCTCCTGTTCGCCCGCTGCCCGGCGGGGTCCGCACGGTGCCTTCCCCCAGTCATCCAAAAACACCCAAAAAGCGAAGCGGTGCTCGCTCCGCGTACCCCCGGAGCGGCGCCCGCGGGTGGCAGCGCGGAGATGCCCGCGGGTGGCAGCGCGGGGA